TAACTGGTTTCTTTCCTTTTTTTGCAGTATTAAGAATTGAATTCAAAAGTGTTTGATCACCGAGTTACATAGCTAGCCCTTTTAACATTTTTTGTTTTGAGGTGCAGGGGTTTTGGCTCAGCGGCAGAGTGCTCGCCTACCACATGTGGGACCCTGGGTTCAATCCTCAGCACCACATAAAAATGAATGAATGGAATAAAAATATACCAACTACAACTGTTGTCCAACTACAACTGAAAAATAAATAATAATTTTTGTTTTGAGACAGGGTCTTGATAACTTGTTTCCTGCCTTAGTTTCTTGATATGTCAGGATTATAGGTATGTACCACCACACCCAACTAACTGGTTTCCTAAAAGGTCTCCACTTACCTTCTTTCGACAGGTACAGGCAAGGACCAAACTTCTCCCTCAGAAGCCGGAAGCTCATGTTGTGCAGCTTTCAAGGGAGTGCTGTCTAGTTTAAAGCTCTCTAGTGTTTTCATGATATCCTTCACATGCTTAGCTTCCACATTTATTTCCTGCCAAACCTAGTTTCAAAGAATAACATGTGTTTTAAGTTTCTGTAAATAATAAATTATTGCCAAGTTTAAAAAGGGCCATTTATTAGAGATAATAGAAACCTCCATTTTGATATCAGACATCCAATAAAGCACACTCACATATTCTGTCAAAATTTTAATAATGGGGGCTGGGGATATGGCTCAAGCAGTAGTGCGCTCGCCTGGCATGTGAGCAGCCCGGGTTCGATCCTCAGCACCACATACAAAGATGTTGTGTCCGCCGAGAACTAAAAAAATAAATACTAAAAAATTCTCTCTCTCTCTCTCTCTCTCTCTTTAAAAAAAAAAAAAAAATTTTTAATAATGGTTCCTTAATTCTGTTTTCATTGGCAAAATTAATTCTGATAAAATCCTGGGTAAACTGTTACTAATTTACCGTTCTTATTCCAATTGAAAAAATTCCAATTTTAAAATGTAACAAATTGAAAAGTTAACTAATTTTGACATTTGACAAAAATAAAACATTTGCAAGTTGTCCTTTGATAGTTTTTATACCATTTAATCAGCTTTTAAAATCATGAACAAAATCCACTAATTCCATAGCTCTACAATGGATTCAATATGAATTAGAAAGTAATAATTTTTGATTATTAAAATTCATATCAATATGCAATCAAAAACAGTGTCTCAATTTACATACAACCAAAGTATTTTTCTTTTTTTTTTTTAGTTGCATATAGACACAGAATCTTTATCTATTTAATTTTATGTGGTGCTGAGGATCCAACCTAGTGCCTCACACATGTTAGGCAAGCACTCTACCAATGAGCTATAAGCCAAGCCCCCAAACAAAGGTATTTTTAAAAGGCAGTCTTGACTCAGTTTAAAAGCTATAAATGGTAATGATTGCACATTATTAATGTATTAATTATTATTGAACTATACATCTTAAATGGTTTAGTTGGTCAATTTTAAAATGAAAAAAAAAAAAACCACTATATATTTGTTGGGGGCGGTATAGGTACTGAAATGAAGGTTAGATAAAGCACCCTTGGGTTCAATCCCCAAACCCAAAACAAAACAAAACCAAACAAACAAACAAACAAAAAAACTTCAATGATTTAACTGTAAGTGTCTTTACACAAATCTTAGCTTTTCAAGAATATGTCTCTGGCCTAACAACAAAAAGCCTAAAGAGTCTTTCAGTAACAAACTTAAGATTCTTGTTGTTGTTATCAGCGATTGAACCCAGGGGTGCTAAACCACTGAGCCACATCCCCAGCCATTTTTTTTTTTTTTTTAGACAGGGTCTTATTAAGCTTATTAGGATCTCGCTATATTGCTGAGGTTGGCCTTGAATTTGCAATCCTTTCGCCTCAGTCTCTCAAGTTGCTGGGATTATAGGTGTGCACCACCTGCACAAACTGAAGACTATTTATGAAATAAAAACATTTTCCCCTTTTGGTAATGTAAAGGATATGGAACAGCAGGATGAGGAAGAAGTTCAAAGGATAGAATACTTTCCCTAAGAAATCAAAGACAAATATGGCATAATATTTAAAAAGAAGTTAGGGAATAATATTCCACCGAGAAGATCAGCTCAAAAAGACCACTAGTTTTTGAAGCATTACTCCTTTTGTGACAGGTGAACCTTGCTACAAATATCATCCTCAACTGAACTTATAAGTTCTATAAATTTCTGTTGGTGCTTAGTAGTTAAAGTTCCTCAAATGGGTGGGCTGGGGTTGTAGCTCAATGGTAGAGCACTTACCTAGCATGTGTGAGGCAATGGGTTTGATTCTTAGCACCGCATATAAATAAATAAAATAAAGGTACATCAATAACTAAAATAAATTTTTAAAAAAAGTTCCTCAACTGAGATATAAATATGATCTGCTTTGTAAAAGTTCTATAAGGAATATGGTTCCTAAAGGAGATTCAAGCATCAACTGCAGTTTCAACAATAGCTTAATAAAGTCAACTCTAATTTAAGTAAAAATCTAATCTAAAATATTACTTTTTAAAAATCAAAACAATTACTTTCTAAAACTTCTAAACTAAAGTGTATTATATTACAACAATCAGAATAATTAGAGCTCATAATACGTTGAAAGTAAGAGGATTATTACTAATATAATAAAAATTTTCAAGTAATATCACATACAAATATTATATATAAACTATACACTCCTACAGTGCTGGGGATCAAACCCAGGGCATTGCATGTGCTAGGCAAGTGCTCTACATAAACCATATATACTTATTATGTAACTTTATATAGCACTGATGATTAGATCTAAATTTTCCCTTCTATGTACACAGTCATTAAAACATATAGCAGTCATGATCCTCACCTGTTGCCATTTCTGCTGAAGGTATGTGTCTTTGACTGAGTACAGATACTTGTTCATTTGGTCAAGAACTCCCTGATAATAAACCATTGCAGAGTCGTAGTTTCCCAGCAATGCATATTCACGAGCCAGTTTTACATTCTCACTAATCATAAGAAGACTCATGCTCAACTGTAAGCTATAAAAAAGAAAAAAAAAATTTTCATTATACATGTCTCTTAAAAATAAGTACCACAAAGAGTTTTTAAAATTATAGTTTCTGGAGTTTATTCAAGAAGCTTACACATATGGTACTTTTTCATTCTTATACATTTGCTCATACATTTTTATTCTTTAAAAAAACATTAGTTCTGACATCCAAACCCTACACTCTACCTATGGGCCACAGCCCAGTTGAGACGGACATTCTCTCAGTTGTCTACTTTCCAATTCTTCTGTTCAAAATAAATGTCTCCTTTTCCAAAGTCCCCTGGAACTTCACAGGGACTTTCATCTCAAAGCATTTGTCTATAGTTACTCTGTATGTCTTATCTCTACTAAACTGAGTTCATGATTTTTTTTTCTCAATACTGGGGATTGAACCCAGAGACACTCTACCTCTGAGCTTTTTATTTAAAAAGCTTTTTACTTAATTTTGAGAAAGGGACTCACTAAGTTGCCCAGGCTGGCCTAGAATTTGCAATCATCCTGTATTAGCCTCCCAGAGTCACTAGGATTACAGGCATGTGCCACCATGCCCAGCCTAAACTAAATTCTTTTTTTTTTTCATTGTGAAAAAGTCTTTAAGAAAAAAATTTAGTCATCAAAAAATTTAACAAAGGGCTGGGGATATGGCTCAAGCGGTAGCGTGCTCGCCTGGCATGTGTGCGGCCCGGGTTCGATCCTCAGCACCACATACAAACAAAGATGTTGTGTTTGCCAAAAATTAAAAATAAATATTAAAAAAAAAATTTTAACAAGTTTCACTTAGCAAAATACTGTTGCAGTCTGGCTGGGCACAAATAACCCAGCCGCCACGAGGCACTTGTAGGTTCAAACAGAAACTACTTTACTGCCCAAACTCTCACCAGCACTCCACTCCATGCGAGCTCCCAGGGAACTCTCTCGCCCTCAATGGGACTCCCGAGAACTCAAAAGTAGCGGATGAGGCAGCAGGAGCCGCCCTATTGCCCGACAGCAGGGGTCTATATACAACTGAATACACAGCCTGTTTCAATCAGCATCATCCAGTCACAGCATTTATCCACAGCTTAATTATCATCATCTTAATGGCTCCCTGGTGTCACCTCTCAACCATTCCTTCAGGCGCCATCCCGACTGGGCTGTGGCTCTGAAAAAAATACACCCAAAAGGAAATCACAATACAAAGAAAGCTTTAAGTCAAGGCCTCACCAATTCCTACAGTATTAGTATTGTGTCTTAGTTCTCAAAACTAACTTTATTTTTTTTTTTTTTTAAA